CTTCGTGATTTTGATTGATTTGGGGTGCCAAATTACTTCTTGAAACTCTGAAGCGCGATGTTGCAGGTTGATAATATGTTATGCTTGTGAACAATATAGTTCCAGAATGTTTTTTCTTTTCCCTTTAATTGACGAGGTTGGTTTGTCAGGTGCTACATTGAGTAGTATAGCGTGGTTAGTAAGTTATGTTTGAAACTCTGTATGAATATATTCGACGAAGCTTTGTAGTTTTTGCAAAATTGAAATAAGATATATAATGATATAGAAACACATGAAGACCATAGTTTAGACTTCTGGTAGGCAGGTTCTTTTCTCTTTCTTGAAAATCAAACCTTTATTCAACTGGTTCCTTGACTTTTTATGGCACAAGACTAGATACTTTGCTGCTAGATATTGGCTCATTTGCTTTTCTGGTTTTTCTGTACACTCTTTATTTTCCCCCCCACCGAAGTCCATTTTAACCAGCTAAACATTCAACTTAACAGCTTACTTTCATCGTTAAGTTTCAAAGGCTTTGATGGGGTCTGCCTTTTGAATGATGAGATGAGTGTCTTGCTCATCAAATAAACATCCCTTCTAGTTACTTATTCATTCTTTCCAGGAATCACAAGAAAATAGGGAGACAGAAAATAGTTAGATAACAGTTGAATGGATCAAGAACTCGACTAAGGTTCTGTTTGTGTTTTCAGCTTTGAAAAGAATTCTATTTCAAGCCCACTAACCAGCCTTAAAGTAAAATATTGTCACTTGATAACTTTCTCCCGGTCTTAAACGTGTTCCATCCTATTCCTCCTGCAATTAGATAATTGTCAGATTTTGAATGTGGATTTTGTATAATGGTGACAAAACATGAGCTGCTTCTGCCTTTTGGTGCACAACCATTTGCTTCCATGTTGGTAAACTTAACTTCTGAATGCTTTTTCTAAGCTTTAAGCTTTTTCAGGGTAGGTTACAGATGGATCATCAGATTTCTTGCTCTCGGCTGTTATGCTTTCCTTCTTTTTCCTGGTTTTGTTCAAGGTTTGTGCATATGTATGTTATAATATATATATAATATTGTACATTCTGTGTCCACCATTTAAATTGATTTTTATACTATGTTCTGCCTCTTACTCATAATTTGAGGATTGTAGTCTTAATTTGTTGCCTTTTGGGAAACTAAGACATGCAGGTTCTGTAACACATATAATTTGTATTTCTGCTGCAGTTGGATACCAGTACTTCTTCTCCAGTCAAATACGTCGAGGTATAGTATATGGAGACCAGCCCAGAAATAGGTGGGATTTAAGTTTGCAATGTTGATATCTTAATCCAACTGCAATCATATACTGTCAAATGTTTTCATATTCCTCTATATAGTTAACGTGGTTAGGATATTTTTTATACAGACTTGATCTGTATCTACCGAAAAACAGTAAGGGACCAAAACCAGTTGTTGCATTTGTAACAGGTGGAGCCTGGATCATCGGGTATGCATTTTTTCTTCTTGTTTTTGTCATTGGACAAACTAGTTATAAAATTATAGTTGCTTCAATTATTAGAGCTTCCTAAGTTCATTGCGTAGGAAAACAACTAGGTATAAATTGGGTTCGGCTGATAGAAGGCATTTTGTTTTACCATTCCGGTAGCTTTTGTTAAAGCATAATTTTATAAGCTTCTCTTTACTGATCCTAACAATCGTATCCGCTGACACAGTTACAAAGCATGGGGTACTCTTTTAGGACAGCAGTTAGCAGAAAGAGACATTATAGTGGCTTGCATAGATTACAGGTAAAATGAATTTTTTATGATCCTATTTCAGATAGAGGATACCTAACTGAAATTGAATTACTCGTTAAAATTAGAGTCGTCTGGCTTTACCAAACAAATCAGCCCTCCTTTTTTTTTTTCTGAATTAAATATGGACCAGCAATAAAATTTACAACATAACTGTACAAGAAGAATAAACTTGAGCTGATGGTAGGATTTTTCCAGGAACTTCCCTCAGGGAACTATTAGCGATATGGTGAAAGATGCTTCTCAGGGTATCTCATTTGTATGCAATAATATTGCTGAATTTGGAGGGGATCCAAACAGGTACCTCTCTCTCTCTCTCTCTAAATTTGTTTTTGAAAATACTATGAAATTGAAACCTACCTATCTAACAAGAAATTATCTTCTTTGTTTTGATAATTCGTAGAATATATCTCATGGGACAGTCGGCTGGTGCCCATATTTCTGCTTGTGTTCTGGTAGAGCAGGCAATCAAAGAGGACAATGGACTGAAAACTTCTTGGAGTGTTTCTCAAATAAAAGCTTATTTTGGTTTATCTGGAGGGTGAGCTATTTTTCAAATTTTTATTGCTTTATATAAATTCTCCCTCCAACACAGAGAATGTCTGGCTTCATGAAATCATTCAAGCTTTTCGAACCATCGGCTATACATATAAAGGGTTGATTTGGAAAATTTAATGGACAGGTACAATTTTTACAACCTGGTGGATCACTTTCACAGCCGAGGCTTATACCGGTCAATTTTCCTAAGGTGAGAACATTATCTGGATTTCCTTCTTTTATGTATATTTGCATGGTTACTGTCTATTTTTGAACTGTCTTATAATTAGCTCGATTATGTTGTACATTTATCTTAACTGCACAGCATAATGGAGGGGGAAGAATCTTTCCAGCGATATTCTCCAGAAGTTGTGGTGCAGGACCCGACCAATAGGAATGCAGTTTCCTTGTTGCCTCCTATAGTGCTTTTCCATGGCACGGCTGATTATTCCATCCCTTCTGATTCCAGGTCTGAATCTCGTTCTCTAGGACATGCAGAATCGAACTTTTAGACGTGTCTGTTCATTTTTTAATGTTGTGACGAATTTTGATCTCTTTGTAAATCTACTTAAGATCTCAGAGTCAGTTTTTTCTAACTAGCCTTCTTCTATTATCCTTTTTTTTTTGTTATTGCAATGACATCATAGCTTGATATTCATAGAGAAGGTCGATAAAGGTCAAAGTAATTTGTTACTTATTCCATGGTAATATATCTCGATATGCATAGTAAACGTACAGACATTTTTTGCTCTTTTTATTATTCGGATTATATATTGCATTGGGCTGAGCTAATGTTTTACGTGCAGTAAAAGTTTCGCAGAGACCCTTCGAAATCTGGGTGTTCAAGCCGAGTCGATACTTTATGAAGGAAAGACACACACAGATCTGTTCCTTCAGGTAACTGTCAAAATATACTTTAGTTTATATTTGCATTAAGATTCTCATGTTTATTCATTTTTTACATAAAACGACAAATTGCGAAAAATCAGGATCCAATGAGAGGTGGGAAAGATGAGATGTTTGAGGATTTAGTTGGGATGATTCATGCGGGCGATCAGGAGGCACTGGCCAGGGATGCCACAGCGCCTCCAAGAAGGCGTCTCGTGCCCGAGTTCATGTTGAAATTGGCACGTGCTATTAGTCCATTCTAGCTGTGTCATTGTTTAAATTACAGATACCTCCCCTGAGATATTGCGAATTAACGAAAGGAGCCCGCACGTATTGTGAGGGGCGGGGTTAATTTGTAGTTTCAGAAAATGACTGGGACATTTCGAAATTAGGCCTAAGGTTGAGGTCATTTTTTTTTATTGTGAAGTTTGATCAGCATAGTTGGATGATCCTACTTTTTAATGGGACTTGGATACGAAAGTGAACGTCACTGAAAGCTATGAGAAAGAGATAAAAGCTCTCTGTCTAAAAACAAATATTTACCTAAATTAGATTTAATAGCAATTTTCTTTTATAAAACTTTAGTTGCAATTACAAGTTTGAAAGAGTTTTTGCACGAATCTGTAAAACGTCTTCAACAAAGAACTGATTAAAATATGATGTTATGGGATTGTTGGGCAACTTGTTCATGAAGTTTTAAGGAGTTGACTGTCATAGTGCTTTTGTACGGAAATTGAGTTGACTTGTTCATGGAGATGACTTCATCAGTGTTTATAGCCGAGTTAATCAGATTTTCTTTATTGTGATTCTAATTTCATTATTCTTTTGTTTTATTCACATTTTATTGGTTTTGATCTTACTCGAATTTTTTAATTGTTTCCATGACGATCAATACCACTTGACTATCTATTTTCTAAAATATAGATCACTATTGTCTCGGAAAAAAACGGATGTAAATAAGAAATAATACAAATACTAGAAGTGAATTGCAAATATTAATAAAAGGAAAACAGAACTATTTGCAAAGTCTCATTGTATTTCACTTTTTAACTTAACGCTTTTTAAAATTTTTAGAGTCAGCTTGCATACAAAATTTATCTAAAAAATTTAAATATTTTTAACTCAATCACTTTTTTTAACTCAACTTTAATTCAACACCAATATCATTAATATTATTAATATAATTAAATAATATCAACCAATCATTCTTATACATCACATCAACTTAATTCACTATTCATCCACTCACATAATTTTAACTAACCATCACTTCAAATCTTTCTCTCATACTTTTATATCAAATCAACTTTAATTATTTTATTTTAAATATTATTTTAATATATCCACTAACAACTAATCATACCACATTTTTCAAATTAACCAAACCAAACCAAAAATTCCAAACAAATCCAAAAATTTTTAAAATGTCTTAGACAGTGCAAATGTATTTAACTTTTGATTATAAGAATTTGGACTTTTTAAGATTTGATGAAAATTCAAAAGAAAAAAACAACATACAAAATCCCACCTCATATTTCGGAGGATTTCCCTTACATCCAAAAAAAATCTTAAAAGTCTCAAATCTAATAAAAAGTCATAAAATGTCATTAAAAATCTCAAACTAACGAGCTTAATAAAAGTGTTCATCTCTAGCAAGAGACCAACTTTCTGCAGCAACAACAATGCAAACCTTAATAAATATCTCAAGTATCTTATCAACAATGCAAAACCTCCACAGCTCCCTCTCATCCCGTATTCCTCATGCCAGCCGCAATCCCATTAATGGTAATCAACAACGCATCCCTCAACTTATTATTATCATCATCCCCTCTCAGCCTCTTCAATATCTCCACCTGCAACATATTCATCGGATTCAAATACGACAACCTGCTCTCGATCAGCCTCCTCAAGCTCCTATTATTCTCTGATATCTTCTCATGCCCCGTCACAAGCTTCACAAACCTCTCAGTAGTCACCAGCTCTTCTCTCAGCTCTGCTCCCAAACCCTGCCTCTCTTCCGACACCAAAACCTCGTCATAATGCTTCGCAATCGGTATCTCCGCTTTCCCAATCACCATCTCGATTAAATCCACAGTCGACTGGAAAAACGGCCACTCTCTGTACATTGCGCGTAAATCCTCCAAAAACCCCTTTTCGCAAATACCCTCGAGCCCGGCACCGACACCTAGCCAGGCTGGCAGGACAAAACGGGTTTGGGTCCACGCGAAGACCCATGGGATGGCGCGCAGGTGACCGATGCCCGTTGATGCCTTGCGGCGAGTGGGTCGGCTGCCGATGTTGAGGCAGCCGAGCTCGGCTTGTGGGGTGGCCTCGTGAAAGTAGGCTAAGAATTCGGGGTTTTCGTAGACTGTGCTGCGGTACGTGGCGCAGCTGATGTGGGAGATTTGGTCCATGAGGTGGCGCCATTTCTGTTCTTTAGGGGGTTGTGGGGGTCGTAAGGTGGCGAGGAGAACGGCTGTCGAGTAGATTTCCAGCTGGCGGACGGCCATTTGCGGGAGGCCGAACTTGGCTTGTACCATCTCGCCTTGCTCGGTTGAGCGGAGGGTTCCCTGTTCGAAATTTGCAGTTTGTTGGGGCGTTTTATTAGAAAAAATTTTGAAGAACAATAATCCTTCAAGGCCTCGTTTACTTAAAATGATGGGATTGGGCAGTTTGAACCCATCAACTTTACGTGTCAGCTTGTGTTCAGTGTTTACATAACATGATGCATTTTAAGACAAAAACAATCAAGCATTTACAAACCTGGATAGGATATAAAATGACAGGATAAAAAGCAAAATATGCGGTAGCAGCAAAATATATTTATATGGCTCAAATCTGTAATTTAGTGGACTTGTAAGGGTAGAAAGGGACATTTCACATGCCAAGTTTTGGACAAAATGGTCATATCTATGATGGGATTAAAATGTACCACCCTCAAAACCGGACAAAATAATCTTGTCAGTCGTGCATAAAAGTGTGAGACCCACAGGACACATCAGCTTATTCTCCAATCCCATGAATATCAGGGGTTATCCATCCACATCCTATCCTATCACAACTTAAGTAAACGAGGCCCAAGTGTTTAGGGTAATAATATTGCAGTCCAATGAAAAGAAGTAAAAGGAAAGAAAGGAAACTATAGAAGCTTCAAACGAAAAAAGGATCTCTCACCATAACCGAGCCCGGAGGCTGGGATTGAATAGCAAGATATGTGGGGCCGCCACCACGGCCGATACTTCCTCCACGCCCATGGAAAAGAGTAGTCTTTATGCCATACTCGTTGCATGCGGCCACAACAGCCTCTTGAGCTTTGTAGAGCTCCCATGCGGCGGTAAAACGGCCAGCATCTTTTCCAGAGTCGGAATATCCAACCATAACCTGTCATTGAATATTTTATTGCTTTTTTCAGGGTTTTTAATAAGACTCTCCATACAACACAGCTACACATAGAAATTTAAATTACAGTAAGTCTCTTTCTGACCTCCTGATGCCCGTTGTGGTTCTTGATGACATGTTGAAGGTACCAATCAATCGATAGCAACTTTCTGAGGACCGAACCAGCTTCTCTTAAGTCCTTCACAGTCTCAAACAGAGGAACTACGCGTAGGCTATCACAGGAAATGTTTAAGTGGTTAAATACAATAGAAGTAAATTTATGCATTAAACTGATTGATTTATATAGTGGCATGATTTTTGTGGTATCATTAGAATAGATGAAGAAGCATACGTTCCACCAGGACATGGTTTGCCAAGTTCACCAGCAACAGCCAGACGAGCATCCTTCTGCAAGAGCTCGACAGCAAGAACATCGCTTGCCTGCCAATTGATACAAGAAAAACAAATTATTTACACCAACGTAAGTAGAGAAAGGAAAATTTTATACTTTTTAAGTATAAAATAATTTAGATTGCTGTTGGTGTGACTAGGAGTTGGCTACAAATTGCAAGTCATACATTGGAGGCCATGGAAATCACATATGCTCCAAGTGAATCACTTCCTAGCTCAGCAGCAACTCTGAAGGTATCTAATACTTCTTTAACATCAGGGGAAACCTAAAAATGAAAATAAGTGGGGAAAAAAAATAGCAGACAACATATAGCAAATGTCAAATTTAATATTCAAAAGTTCAGTTTGATATTTTGATATTACACAACATACTCAAATAATCCGACATTCCTTCGAAGAAAATGTAATGTCATTTTTTTGTAAGTTCAGTACTTAATGGAACGAACACGAAAACCAAAGGAACTAATGAGCCATGTACTATAACATCAAAATTAAGGAACAACCTGTAAAAAGATGTGAACTGTTGATCATTATTTGTTTTCACTATTCTTCTCTGCATTAGACTGAAAAAATAAACATGCAAGTCCTTTTGCATCAAAAATAAATTACCTCAATGTTCGGAGGTATTAGTGGCCTCTTCCCTTTGAGCTCTCTTGTCAGAAAATCAAGTTTCTTATCTTCATTCCACTCACTATAGGTACCCATATCCAGATAATTGGTTATGGCATCGAGTGTTTCTGCATGTCGACCGGATTCCTGTTGCATTATGCATGAAGATTAACACAAATAATAGCAAATATTTTTTTTTTCTTTTTTCCTTTGAAAAAGATGGACTGACCTGACGAAGGTCAAGCTTCATCAGAACCATTCCGAAAGTAGAAACACGCCTGATTAGGTCAGTCAGCCGGCCATCGGCTAAGATCCCAGAACCACAAGAGTGCTTCAGATGGTACATAAGAGACATTATAAATGTTAAAACGGAAGCCCAATCATTCATAAAAATGTCACAAAGAAAAACCTCATAAAGTGCACCTACCAGTGAGTCATAGCACAATAAAAGAGGTTCCATAAGCTGCTCTGATGTTTCATAATAATCCCCATGGTCATATTCACAAGAAAGGTCCTCGAGAAGAAGCTCCAGCCTTTTTCGGGTCCTCATAAGCTGCAGTTATATAAAACCTACAATGTAAGTAGATAAAAGGTACAAGCACCAGATGTCATTCCTATGGAGATAACTTGGTCAGGAGTAATACATTGAGAAGCTTTTGCTAATTTTTTGGATAGATAGCACCATAATATTAATATCATACAAAGCTTAAACAGAAATAAATTATAATTAAGAGACAGCCACCTTTTCTTTTACATCACCCAAAACAACTCTGTAAGGAGCTATTCCAGGTATTTGAGAAGAACTTGGTTCTAGAAGCCTCTTGAAACTGGTCCTTCCAATCTGAGACTCGACGAACAACCTCCTCTGAGCAGGAAGTTGACCCGAGCTCAAAGACGATCCTCGTGGGGTCACAACTGACTGGGAACTTCCAAAACCGTTAACATTGCCATTTCCATGTGTTTTTATGGTGAGTTTACTAACATCATTTGAAGAATCTTTGCGAACCAAAGACTCCCGACTGTCCTGAAATGGCGCAAGAAAATTTTTTTGCATTACTAAACACTGAAAATAACAAAGGAACAAATTTTCATAAATGGTTTGAGAAAAGTGGGACAAGAGAGAATCACTTTCTTTTTCTTCTATTTGATTTACCTCTCGATTTAATGGCATAAATTCTGTTCCGGGAAGATCCAGTCGAGGATAGCGGGAGTTCACGTCATTGTGGTCTACACGAAAAGGGAGTAAAGAAATAAAAGGCATGGTAAAATTCTGATATGTTAAAGCTACCACTAACTACTTTCTGAGAGCAAGTATCTTCTCTTCTGGTAACCCATACAATTTTAAATCATTAAAGTTGAGATATAAACCTGCACAGGAAGGACGATCGGCTCCAGCTGGCAGCTGTGTTGGAAGAGGTGAAGAATGAATGCCATAATTCTTAAACTGGGCCCTTTCTGATTGTTGACTCCAACTGCCATGCCTATCTTCTGAAAATTTTTCTGAAATACATTTGAATCTAGTATGTAAGCTCAAGAACTTTAAACCATTCACCATTGACCCACAATGTTTACTCTACTTGCAATAATAGAATACCATGGAGAGTATAAACACTGTACCTATTTCTATAATTTGTTGTGCCAGTTGGGATAACTTCGCATCACATCGGTTCATGGAGAGTTCAAATCTAAGGTTATCAACTTCACGAATGTACAGATCAATAGCCATCCACCTAGACAAAAGGGAGACATCCTTTGTGACCTGAAACCGTAAGGAAGGAAAAAAATATAAGCATTACTATAAATGTAACCTAATTTATTAATGCCTGCATGATTTAGAAAGAGCGAGAGAGAAGGACAGCACTGAGAATACCTTTGCTGTCACATTTGGGTTTCCATCTCGATCACCTCCCATCCACGATCCAAATTTTATTGGAGTGCATGTCAAAGGTAGAGGTTTTCCAGTATGCTGAGACAAGTGAACAAATCTTGAGATCAAGGGGAAAAAAAATGATTTAACAAAAATGTACCAAAACAACCTTCTTAAGAGCATTGCTAAGTCGACGCAAGTAATGAGGTAAAGCTCGCCAAAGTGATTGCTCCACAATATTCAATCCTGGAAGAGAGATAGCGAGAGATCAGTGGTTTAAACAAGTAAAAAAAAAATGGACAATAAATTTTAGCATAACTCTGTTAAATTTACCAGCCCTGGCTTCATCAACTGGAGTAGGCTTATGCCGCCTGAGCTCATCAGTTTGCCATATCGAGGCAAGCTCTCTAACCTACAATTTCAAAGACTCATATATCTTAGGCAAATTTCAGTAGAGTTTGTCATCCAAATATATTTTTCTCACAGTTCAAAAGTTTAGCAGAAAAGCAGCTACCAGATCTTCTATCAACATCTCACGATCTTCATCTCCGAGGTCAGGACGATCATTGTATTCTAAAAGATGCTGCAAAAGAAGAAGAAAACAAAAAAAAGCATAATAATAATATAGAGGTGAATGGGGCATTCCCATTCCAATGACTGATATATTATATTAACAGAACAAAATGATTGGATAAATGCCATACAGCAATTCTTATATGCTTGTATTGCAATGTTCGCCGATTGATTTGCGTGGGGTGTGCTGTGAGAACAATTTCAACCACCTGGTGTGAAAAAATAAAAGATAAAAATCGGCCAACAATAACCTAAGCAAAATAAATTTCAACTTTCAGAACTTGTTCAAACAAGACATAAATAAAGCTGTGATTTACACACCTGCTTGCAGACTGTATCATAAAGCTCATCAGGAGAAATACCACTCTGAATGAGCTGATTTAAAGTATCATCACAAGATTTTGATATCTTTCTAGCACTTCTAGCCTTAGTTACTCTGCAATGAAAAATATTGCACTAGTGATTATTTCAAAAAATTTAAGTATCCACTCAAAAACATGTTACAAAAATAGGCTAGAGGCATCAGAAGGTTTTTTATTCTAGTTTAAGAGGAAAATGGATTTGCCACTTCATATGATACATCCACTTCATTTGAATACATAACCGTGTTTTGCAAAATTAGAAACACAAAATCAAGAGTACCTGTGATGAGTTTCAGCAATCCCTGTCAGGTTCAGATAATGACTGAAAGCCCGAGCAAGCGTGAGGGCTTCCTCGAGAGTCATTTTAGACAACTCGGCAGCTAGTTGCTTCTCGAGAAGCTCAGCAGTGTCCTCAATTCCTGCATTTCTCATGTTGCATGCACTCTACAATACATATTTTGTTTTTCTAGTCAGTATAAATACACAGAAAACACACATAAGGCCTCAAAACTTGATAACAAGCAAAATCAATTATTTCCATAAATCGCTCAAGGAAAACACTCGGAACAACAAAAACAATAGTGAAATGCCTCATCCTGATGAAAACAAGGCAATCTGTTTACGCATCTGTACTAATAAATAAACATAAAAATAAATCAAAATAGCCCATTGGTTTATCCAGAAATGAAACCCAAGCTCGAGCGGCAACATCACGAGGATCTATCGTAAGATACAAACAACTCTTCAAACAAATCTACATCTGACAACAAGACCCTCATGCAGAACAACACCACCATACAAAGCAATGAAAAACACTCGATGGAGCACAGTAAATTAATCAAAGGCCATTAAAACCCAGAAAAACACCACACACAGAGAGAGAGCATATGCAAAGATAACAGTTCAACATGAAAATCAAACCCAACAATGGGAGAAAAACGAAAACAAAAAACCCAAAAAGGGTCCACGAAACGGAGTAGAAAATTAGTCAAGATCCTAAGTACAAAAACCCAAAACAAACAAACAAAAAAAACCTGAGCTAGGACTCGGGTCTTCTCAAGCTTCTCCATGAACTCAGGCCCGACCTCTCTCTGAAGAACATCATTGAGCAGATTCCCCAGCAACCTGCAGTCATCTTCAAACCCCTGAAACGAAATCTCCTCTGCAATCTCATCCGTAACGTCCGTCATTTTTGCAGAAAATCAATGTTATCCGACCTTGTTTGGAATTTGAATAGCGAACAAGATGAGTGTGTGTACAGTGTGTGTTTATTGTGACGATGTACGAACTTTTTCTGCTCCGATATTTTAGTTGGTGGAGAGGGAGAGTGTGTGTGGTGACGGAGAAGGAAAATGTGGGGCTCCGATGCTTTTGAGGTGATGGGCAATGAAGGAGATGGCGACACGTGGCCTCGACAGCGCAATTTATGGCAATGTTTTTGTCGTTTACGTTACCAGTCGTATTTCATTTCCTATGCATATCAAGGATATATAGTGTGCTCATTTAACACTAGTATTTAATTAGCACAAAATATAAATAAAATACTATAAATTATATTTATAAATATATAAAACTTTAAAATTATACATTAGAGTGGGCATATTATATTTTATACTTTTGATTATTAGTAATAATGAAAAATATAAATATAAATTATTTAACTTACATATTAATTATTGTACTTATTGCATAAAATATAATGAATAATATAACTTTTTAAAGCTTTCATGATGAATTAATTAGCTGAAAATAATAAAATTGTTATTATTATAATAATTATTCGGTTTTAAGGAGTTTGGTTACGTCAAGGAGTTTGAAAAAATGCTTAATAAGATGAAAAAAAAAAGATAATATTGTTTATAGAATAAATAGTCTGAAGAAAAAAATTTAGAATATGGTTTTTGATAAGCATATAACTTCTATATACTAATTCATTGAATTTATAATAAGTTATTATTGAGAGTAAATAGTAAAAGTTAATTACACTTAATTAATCTAAGATTATTTAAAAAATGAGTGGATTTTTTTAATTTGCATTAATCGAATTGCTTTTGATTATATATAATATATATATAACTATATTATCATATTTAATATTCATACATAACTTTTCAATATAAATATTTTTAAATTAAATGTTATATTTTAAAAAATAATATAAATACAGTATGATGTTTTATAATTTAAGTATGTATGAATATTAAATATGATAATTCTGGATGGATATTTAGAATTTTGGACGCTCATGAGAAGATTTAAAGAGGATTTGGAAAGATTCACCACAAGATCTTTGAAAATTTGAAAGATCGGCTATTATAGGAAAGTTGTGTTCTTACATCAGACTGGAAACACAAGATTTTCATTGGAAGCTCAATTCTGAAGATCTCCAAATCACATACACGGATTCTACATCAAGGAAACTTACTTTACATGAAGGATTTCGTCCAAGATCTGAAAGGAATCAATTGAGAAGGAAATTGACTCATAAAAGGAAAAAGAAGAACTTTGTGAAGACTCCTTACCTTAAGGAGATTGTATATAAACCTACTCAAGCAATCAATTGAAGGGAGCTGCTGCAATAATCGAATTCATCATTCATCAAATTCAATTGAGTGTTTGAGAGATTTTATCTTTTTCATTAATTTGTTCGTCACAGCACTTCAGCTTCTTACATTGTTGACGAACTGAGTTTGTTTAGTTTCTTTTTCTTTTTACAAATACTTCTTGAGTGCTTAGGGATTAAGTACTAGGTTTGCTCGAGGGATTTGAGTGTGTAAAGTCCACGGGACATGGCCAGGGAAGTAGTTGAGAGGATCGGGTATAGTGTTGGCTAGACTAGGAAGGAGTCTGAGTCGAGTAAGTCCAACCTGTATTTTGTGGGATGCAAACGGATTTATCAATGAAAGAGTTCTGAGGGGTAGTGAGACACTCCCTGAAGACATATAATTTTTATATTGCTTCCGCTTTTAAATTTGTTTTTTCTATATTGCAACACAATTTCATAATATAGAATTTATGTGTTCTAACACAGTCTGCGTACTCTATACTCTCCACCATCATTTCAAAGTTGAATATTTTGTGGATGTTATTATATCACACCTTGCACCTAAAAGCACAAATGTCAAATTGAAAGGTAAATTAATATCTAGATATTATTAAACTAAAAAAAAAAAAAGGAAAAGGTAAATTAATATCTAGATATATTTAGTGCTTATTTAAGGATGTTGATTGGTTTTATTACTTTCACACTACCACACAAACATAGTGATTGGTTTTATCTATGATTCATTTAATAAATATCTAGATATATTTAGTGTTTATTTAAGGATGTTGTAATTATTCATGGTTGATTATGGTTTTATATGGTTCATCATTTTGTAACTTGTTTCTATATGTCGTGAAAGCTATTTATTTTGTTTGCATCACTTTTTCTTAGGGAAAAAAATGATGGCTGAAGTTGATTGATACTATATAAATTATGATGTTTTTTTCTGGGGTACTATTTTTATATTTAGCTCAAAGCTTAATAATGCTTAAGACCTGCCGTGCAAATAATGGAAAAATATCTGCAAATATGTAGGAGACAAATATTTCATTTTCAATCACTTTTTCCTGATAACCTAATAACCTTCTTTTGGGGACAATTGGCGGGTGATTTAACTTGGGTCCGATTATTAATTGTTATCAATCACGTAACGTAATCATGTATTGATATATTTGGCATATCTTATGACCCACGCCATTTTATAAAAGGTTAAAAAGTTTAGCCACCCTTTAATTCTAAAATCCAATATTCATATATTTGGCATCTCCATATGACCCATAAAAGGTTAAAAAATTTAGCCACCCTTAATTCTAAAATCCAAAGTTTTAAATAGACCCACTATCTTATAAAATGTTTAAAAACTAGCAACCATTAACTTTTTTTTTTTTGGTAGCCAACCACGGTATCCAAAGTTATGCCCCGACTAATCTATTGATCGACCCGGGTCGCACACCTGGCAGTGGTGAGTGAGTCTCCTAACAAGGGTTTTCTGCATCCATAAGGACTCGATCTCGAGACCTTGCTTAAGGGACATCAAGCTACTTACCACTTGAGTCAACCCATGTTGGTAACCACCATTAACTTTAAAATCCAAAGTTTTGAATCAGAAAAAGAATAAAATAAAATAAACATATTATTCAATTTTGTTAATAATTTATTTGTTATTTTCATTGTTCATCTTTTATTATTCAATTTTGTGCACATGCACTTATTAAAGAAGGAACTAAAGTTACAAACGATAACAACAATAATAATAATAATAATAATTTTTCAACTAACTAATTGACCTTGATCCTTTAAATCTGTAAAAATAATATTATTAATTATATTTTTTTGTAATCTATAAATTGATTCATATACAAATAAAACAGAGTATAATTATATGATTCATTTGTACTGATTATTAAATTTATTAAATATGATATAATTTTGAATATATTTTTCCGCATAGTATAAGAAGGAACTAGAGTTACAAACGAGGCAGGTCGAATCGAACATTGACCTTAACAAGACGAGCTCAATTTTTAGGTTCGAGTCAATATCGACATTAATATAAAAATGCTCAAGATCACAATGTAATTGAATTTAATAACTCGAGTTCATCTCGAAATTTTAATACTTCTTCTATTTAAATTAGAATTTTGCTTGAGTTATGTGTATTTAAATAAGTTATACTTATATGCTCGAGCCTATAACGTACTGTGCCACAGCCTCAAGTTTGAGATCGATCCGTGCTCACTTAATCTCGAGCTCAAGCTGGTCTTTGACTCAAGCACTAAAAAAATGTACGGCACCTAGATGGGACAAACCGCATGCAGGGGCGGATCCATAAAATTTTAGTTGGGGAGGCAATGAACAATATAATTTTCAAAAAAACATCACTTCGATATAATAAAAAAAATATGTACTTCCAAACTTTGCTAGCAATTAGAATTGTTTAAATTTTATCAAGTTATGGAACATATTAATAGTTGACCTGAACTTATACAGTATAAAAATATAGAAAAATAAAAGAAAAATCTCATGTTTGAATTTTTTATAAGCACATAACATATATTTCTACCACATTAAATTGCATATCTTATGTGCTCTGCATAATAAATTTACTCCTCGTATTAAGTTATATATAAGTGTATTTATATAAGGGTTACAAGATTTAATTATTAATTATAATAATTAGTATGTTGACTAGTACAAATAATTTAGGATAGAGTTGTGCAGATTCTTCTACTAATAGTCTACTTTGAATTCTCTATTTTTAGGTGAGACTGTTGATTATCAAAGCCTCAGCTTATTTAATTAAATTAAGAATCAATATATATAATTTTAGATATGCATAATAGAAAAAAAATATGTTGGGGGAACAATATTGCCTCCCCCAACTATAATGTGGATCCACCTCTGACCGCATGCATGATGGGTCATATCTTTTTAGGACTGACTTGTCTATCCAATTGTACATGCTAGTGTCTGTTTTTTTTTTTTTTTTTTTNTAACTATAATTATTTTAAAAATTATAAAAACAAAAGTACGTCCGAAATATTAAATGATACTATAAGATCCCAAGCTAAATATTAAATGATACTGTAAGATCCAAAACAAAGCTTGGGATCAACCCATTGAAATTACACAAATAACAACAGGTACATGCTAGAGTCTCAGCGAAAAAGTTTGTCTTGAAGGCTATGATTTCAATTTGAAAAAGTACGTTTGTAAAATAAGGATAACAATAGTATGGTTGATTTCATGTTACCCATGTGGGTAGTGCCCCCATGGGGTTTTTGACCACAAATTTCACACACACACCCACATGGATGTGTGTGAGTCTGTGTGTGAATATGTGGCTACAACTCCATGGGGACACTACCCCATGGGGTTGCATCGACTTTACCCAATAGTATACCTACTACAAGAAAGAAAAATATTATAGTTCTCTCTTTCTTAGTAAGGTAGATAATATAAAAACGAAAAATGTAAATACATTTAGTGATCATAGTGCTACTAACGAACAATGTACAATATACGTCAACAAAAGTTCGCTTTGACAAGATTTCGTTTGTTTACTACTCCCTCCATTTTGAAATATAAGGCGTATAAAGATTTTTTATTTTTTTTGAAATATAAGGCGCGCTCAAAAATCAAGACAAATTTTTGCATTTTTTTTCCAAATATACCCTCATTGTGTTGAAATTAAGGAAGTGTGGAGTGGTTGTGATTAGAGTAAATAAGGTTAATTTAGTCAATTTATTCATTAATTAATGTCTCCTTAATATTTGTGCAATAACCTTAAATGCCTTATATTTCAAAATGGAGGGAGTACTTAACAATTGAGTGAATACGAGCTCGTTCACGTATGTTCAATAATATTCGTAAGCATTAATTTAATATAAGTTTATTTTATTTCTACATTTATACATATAATATTTTTAATATGAAATCGAACAAATCTTAAGCTACTAAATTATTAATGTATTCAAACTTTGACGAATAATTAAATGAACGTACAAAACTATACGAAAATACACGAACGATGTTAATACAAAATCGAACACGAATTAAAAATGCTCAAGCTCGGCTCGTTCCTTTTTGGATTAATTTGGATTATTAAAGATTAATAATTTAATCTCTCAATTATTGGGGCCATGGCAGAAAAGAGAAAAAAAACACCTGAAAAGAATATTTATAATATTTGCATCACTCACACGCTGTTCGCTTTGTCGAGTCGAATAATTTTCAATCATTTTGGGGGCCAAAATTATGTCATCGTCTCCGCCTAAGCCGGAAGTTGGGGTGGGGGTGTTTCTGCTCAAGGGCGGCAGAGTCCTTCTGGGCCGCCGCCGCACCGCCGTCGGCCGCGGCACGTTCGCCCTTCCCGGCGGCCACCTCGAGTTCGGTCAGCATTCTCTCAATTCAACCTCTTTTTTCTTTTTTATTTATTATATGAATATCAATAAATTGGTGCTGCGATTACTGAAATTTCAAAGTTAGGTTACCCTTGCAATTAGTCCTTAATTTCTACAGAAGTAATGAATGGGTGAAATGTGAAGAGGCTGATATTTTCAATTAGGGATTGTGTGAAAAATAT